AGCCGCGTACAGGGTCACCCGAGCCCTGGTCGTTTGCGGAGCCACTCCAATCCGAATCGTATGACTGCACCGACATGTCTCTTGGATCTGTAGCAGTGTTGGGACGGAATTTTCGAGATCTGAAAGGGGTTCCGGCGTTCCACGTGTCGACCTTTCTTGATGAGTCTCGCAGCTCTCCAGGAGCTTTGTTTCTGTCTGAGGTTGCCGCAGGACTTAGGACTTCGGACGACGGATTCTTAAATAGCGGAGCGGAATTCGACGGTGAGGTCTCGCCGGATGCATTGCTTTGGTTGAGTCCACTACCAGTCGTTAGTATTTGTCATTGTATCATACAAGTATAGCCTTGTCTGGTCCAAAGCATAACGGACCAATTAAGTTAATGCACTCCATGTTCTCAAATGAGAAAAGAAAGAAAGTCTCAAACAGCGAGGTTCACTTACCCTCTGCACACCCTTTGCGACTTGGAGCATTGGTGACACTTTGGATATCCGGGCTCGCATTTGATCTTCTTCTCTCGACAGGTCAGGCAAGCTTGCGCAAGTCGCTTTCGAGGTTTACCGGCCTTTGTGATACCCCATGAAGGATTGACCGCTTCGCCGTCTATTATAGCCCGGCAATAGGTGCCATCCTCGTAGACGTAGCACGGGCCTTCGCCTGGTATATCACGTTGTCCAACACAACGCGAAGATCGTACTGGAGCGCGCGAAGAACCTTCCAGTCGTCTCATTCTGACAGGTCTATTCGGATCAAACCCTAGTTCTTGCTGACTAGAGTGGGCTGTCATCGTTCCCGTCGCATCAGACATGAGCGATACTTGCCGATGCCCATTGCCTACTAGGTCATGCTGTGAAGGATGGGCGAAACTTTCACGCCGTTGGAGATCTACCCGACTGACGCCAAACCCCGAGCCTGGCGTCGACGACGAGGTAGATGGTGTAGCGTTTGTACCTGACAGAGGTTGACGATGGTGGTAGGGCGTTTGAGAAGCGATAGCATTATGCTCGGGGTGGCCATGGAAGTAACCATCATATTCATGCCGTCTCTTCAACGTCGGACTAGAAGACCCATAACGCCCAGAATGGTTGTAGAGTGCCGGAGCGCCACCCGCCCTCAATGATGGATCCGATGACTTTTTGTCGAGTAGCTCTGGTTCCAAGAGCGTGCGAAGACTGGGTAGTTGTTGCGCATTGTTATGGCTTCCACTGGAATCTCTAGGACGGATGTGCTGGCTAGGGGCGATGATTTCTGGCCGAGACGATGAAGCATGGTGTGGCGGGTAAGGGCTGTAGGAGGGCGGAGGTCCTGAATGTGAGGGTATGCTGGGTGGGCGACTCATATTGAGAAGCATAGCAGGTAAGATGCGGTTTGATGTTCGGCGCTTGGAGTGGGATGATTTCCACGGTACACCCCGTTGACCGACCACATGAGGGTATATAGAACAGCAGGAGCTATTGATTGCCTAGGACGCTCAAGAGATCCAGGCACTGCTCAAGACTTGACACTGGTGCAGCCACGGCATCAGCTAATGGTCAACTTAACAGGTACATAAAGGTACGTGAGGAAGTCAGGAAGGTGGCCGACAAACAGAAGCGTCTGGCCTGGACTGGGATGTCCGCTGCGAGCTATTGCAGTCTAGAAAGTAGACCAAAGAAACAACAGTCCGTGCAGGGCTGACGTCTGGCGACTGAGCAACACTGTTCCGGCTCCTTATGAACCGCAACCGAAGCACAAAGCAACAGTGCATGTAAGAGCGTATGTAGGGGCGACACGGGAAGAACTTACAGATGCAGGGATTATGATATGCGCCGCGGACGCACCTTTTGGGCGCAATTGACACTGAGCACGCAGCGAGCACTGCTTCGATTGCTTGAACGTAAGGCAAAGGATAATAGCAATAAGTATAATAATGCCCGGATAGCAGGAGTGAGGGTGGGCGGACGACAGCGGGACCCCGTGCTCAGCCAGTCAAGAGCTTACCAGGAGGCCCTTGTAAGAACAGGCTTCAAGGAGGAGCGACCGCGGCCTCCAAGTAGGTCAGCGATTATTCCAGTGGCGTGCAGTGACGGACCGCCAGGGACATGGTCGTGGAGCCTTTGCTGTTTGAGACCCGAAGATGCTGGGACCAGCCAGGGTATGGAGCAAGCCAGCCGGAATATTGGCTGCAGATATCGAGTCAACAGCCTTCAGCGGGCTAGATAGCGTGCTGCGTCAGATGCAGACTGATGCACGTTACTGCAGTCGTGGATGGCGCGTGGGCAATGTGAGCCCCAGATCGTACCAACTGGCAGCTGGCCAACCGCAGCTAATCCGCTAATGACCTGTGCAGATCATGCAGCGTGAGCTCGGAATGCAGCGAACATGTCCTTGCTATTTTGCCGCGAAACTCTGGGACCTGGCGTTAGGTTCTGGAGCGGTTCCGTCCAATAAGCTTCAGTTAGATTGAGGCCAAGGACTGGAAACAGCTAAAACGTGCAGCCACCATAAACGACGCCTCTCGCTGCAGGAGAAAAGAGGGCAAATAAGCCGCCGTCAACAATGCGAACAAGAAGACAGGTGTCCCGGCGGCCGGCCCTATATCGCCAACGAGAAGCCTTTTGTCCCCGCTCAACATTGGAAAGGTTGATGCCAAATGCTGACACGGGCGATGCCGTTGTCGTCAGCCAAAAAGACGCCGAAAAAAGCCTGACTAAAAGCGGCACCAGAATCCGATCGGAACGAGCTCACAGCAGCCGTTGAGCGGGCGATTGAGCCCATCTCGATCCTCTTACGTCCCGGATCCCCTAACGCCTCTGGCCTTGCTTGCATGAAGCCAGCTTGGCCCGCGCCGAACGGCTCTAAGCCTAGCGGTCGGTTTCTTTGATTGCACTCCCGAGTCCATGCGCATCTTCGGGCGTCCTAAGACTCCATATAATAAGTGCTTTCTCCGGATGCCGTAGTGGCTTGACACGAGATGGCCTCGTCGCGTCTTTCGGTGCAGTAATTGAGCATGTGTACGCAAAGTGCTTGCTGTGCAATCGAGGTTGCCCTAACGATGGTCCAGGATCGGCTGTGGCCTCCCGCTGTCGGTGATGACGCCCACAATATCTTCGTACCTCCCGTATTGATTATGAGACAAAGGACCGAGGGATCAGGCGAGCAGCCGGGAACTGACAAGGACCAAGGCGCAGGCACAAGCGGATCGCCGTTGAGCTGGACCGAAGCGAAGCGGCTTGCGAGTCAGTGTAAATGATGGGGTATCAATGGTATCGGGAATGAACGCCAAGGTCACGTATACGCTAAGAGCTGCTTACGCAGCTAGCGTCGCGCCAAGCCAGGCCTGAACTTCTCTGTGAAGGTGCGACCGAGTCGACTGTCACCACCACCACAACAACAACACCACCGTTGTCAGCCTTTGCCGAAACCCCTTTGGCAACCACGTGCATGCTGCGAATCTCTGACCCAGGCGCATCTTTCCTAACATACATAAGTGCACAGAAAATCCTGCGACATGGCTACTGAGGTTCGCGACAAAGATCTGGCGCGCAACCCGTCACCCGCTGCCACTGCGCAGCAAGGCGACCGCCGCCCCAACACACCGGAAGCCGCAGAGGTCAAGCCCACCAACCGGGAAGCCAGCTACGGCTCGAGCTCGTCTGCTCCGCTGCCTTACGACGGTGGCGCGCCTCCCCTGCCCGACGAGCCCGTCCCAGACGCAGAGGATGACGGCTGGGAGGCTAGGTGGGACAACAACGCTGGCGCATGGTACTACTTCAACCACAAGACCGGCATCTCGCAGTGGGAGAATCCGCGTGTCCCGACCGCTTCTGCCCAGAGCTATGGCTACGACAGGTTTGCTAACTATCATCTTCATTTTATGTCTTTCTCAGCCTAATACGTGCATCTCACAGACACCCTTATCACGGTGCCGCCGCTGCTATGACATCAAGCTCTGGCGCTCCGGGCACCAGTTCTCCTCCAAAGCGCAAGTGGGGTGGTTACAACCCAAAGATTCATGGTAGCTTTGACCCCAATGCGGACTATGCAAAGGAGGCAGAGAAGGAGGAAGAGGACGCCCAACAGGCCGTCTCTGCTGCAGCTTTCGCCGCTCGTAACGCGCACGGTTCTAGTCATGACTACACAACAACTGCTCAGTTCAACCGCTTCAACGGCAAGCAGCAACAAACTGGTCAAGGCCCGGAGATGCACAACGACGAGAATAAGAGCCGTCGCCAAATGAATGCTTTCTTCGACGTTGATGCTGCAGCCAACAGCCATGACGGACGTAGTCTCAAGGCAGAGCGTCGCGCACAGCCTCTCAGCAAAAAGCAGCTTAAGGAGTTTAACGAGAAGCGCAAGGCTGCGAAAGAAGCGAAGCGCAGAGCCTGGTTACGCGACTGATTGTGTGGGCGGTAAGAAGAAGAAAAGACAGTGAAGGTTCAAAACGACCACTAATGCAGGCTAGATTTGGGCCATATCCTTGGAATTGACGACTGCTCGTCTGTTAAGTGAAGGTAGGATCTCATGCTTGTCTTGGTGCTTATGGATGCGACATTGTAGCATGAAGGGACTACACGTCTTAGCTCTTCGTTCAGCGCCGCGGCACATACTACACATGTTATGCCTGGCCATGATTATCGCTCATCATGTACTCGAGCGGATGATCAACTATGACAGCTGGTCCACTTCTTGACTAGTCTGGATGTATGCGGTGTTACCAGCGGGAGCAAGCTTCTCTTGCTCGTAGCCACGGCTGGAAGCTAGAAAACACTTTGTACTCTTCAGTGCATAGCCCGTAGATACAATGGCATTCCTGTTGCCTTGTTCACCACCCAGATACCGGTCCCATGTGCGCCATGTCAATCTTTCGGCGCTTTGCCTTTGCAATGCACGCTATCTTGTGCAAACCCCACCACATGGTTTTGTGTTTGCCGTGAACCCAACGTCATCAGGGGCAGATTCGGTTCCTTGCAGCTGCAGGCCGTCAGCAATATATGTATATTGCGGCCAACAGTCGAGGTGCTTCAGCCACCCTTGGACGCAAGATCCTGGGTACCTAGGTCCGCCATCTGCTTCTGGACATCTTCGACCGTTGATGCAGTTGTAGTCCCTTGCGCCGATGCACTGTTGCCTTGGGCATGCTCCGCCTCTGCGTCTGCATCATCCATGTTCTCGTCGGTGTTCTCTCCAGCTTCCGCTTCCGCTTCGCCAGTCTGTCCAATTCCTTTCTCCAGTTCCTCCACGGCTCCAAGGAGCCAATCTACGACTTCATTCTTGTCGTTGATCTCCGCTTCATAGACCGCATCGTGGCCCGCTCGGTTGATGATCGTGACATCGGCACCGGCGTGAATGAGAAGTTTTACGCTTTCGAGATGACCATTCAACGCGGCCCAGTGGAGGGGTGTGTTGCCTGCTTCATTGACCGCGTTGAGGAATGTGGGTTCAGGCTTCTCAGCGCCGGTCGAGAACAGCAGCTTGATGACGTCTATGCCAGAAATTAGACATGCTTCGCGTCATGAGTATCTGGAGAAGTTACCGTTGTGTCCATTAGCAGCAGCATAATGCAGCGCGCTATTCTTCGAATATGGGTCGATAGCCGCAGTGTAGAGTTCGGTCTTTGATCGCTTCGTTTGTGTGGACAATTCGGAGATGTACGAATCGAGCTCAGCTGCTTCGTTCGCTCGCGCCAAGTACAGGACCTCGTCTACAACGTCTTCGTCTAGTCCTGCCATTTTTGCTTGTCGGCTTGCGCTTCGGGTGTCTCAGTGATTCTCTGTAAATATTTTCTGACAGGTCTGCCCAATGAAGGAAGCGGGGGCGGGGTCCAAAGCACTAGCCCCCATCAGTCGTAGCTCCTGAGTGAGATTTCCAGGGCTGCAATCCATCGTTCATCGCCGATGCTGCACCTGTCCCCTAATCACTTTACATATGCAAGTACACACGCTTCCTGGCTGTGCGCTATACTCAATCAAGGGGTTTTACCTCCTTATCTTCCTCCCACCAGCATAAAATCAATTCGATACAGCACCCTTACCGCAGATCCTGCATTGTTAATGAGCAAGTATAGCAATCAATCTATGGAAGCGCTAGAAGGCCAACACGCATGCACGAACTATGACGTGCAGCTTCTGCTCTAGTTTCTCTAACGACCATCGGCACCTTCCGAATTCCAGATTCAAATATACCCCTTGCTCGCCTGTGCATTTGACAGTTTCTCTTCCACATCAGCTTCGACGGCCTAACACAACATCTAAGCACAACGACGAGCTCGAACCACCTGACTTGTGTCCCTGGAACCTTATTCGACCGTTGTCTTTTCGACACCTAAAATGGTGTTCGTGAAGTTCTGCGAAGGATCTCGCATGCATTCAAATGTAGGATATAAATTGGAAAAAGAATTAAGCTAGCTTACGGAGCGTGCTGCCTACATGCCAGGACTCCACCGTGTCTGAGTTCACAAATTGTGTTCTCTTATGAATACATTTGACGGTTCGGACGTGTGGCTGTGTTACATCGGGAAGGAAGCCTCTCCGCCAACTTGGAATTACCCGGTTGCCGTTCTGTCCTGAAGCGGCAAACTGGGCCCATATGAGCCTACTCTGGCTATTCTGCTTTGTTGAGAAGCAAGACCAACAATGGTGGACCTAGAACACGCAATCGATGTTTGTACTACACTTCTCTCGTAAGGTGTCGCATTCGTTTACGGGAGGGAGCGTCTACTCAAATGCCGAACTACGTCATGCACGCATAGCGTTCGCCTTCACCTGCCATTTCGCACTCGGTTCAACGAATTCAGACGGGGTGACTGCTTGATGGTGTTCCCACTCAAACCTTCATCCTTCCGCTAACCCCTGCCAGAGGATAGATTGCGCAAGGACCTTGATCCATGAACCTGGTCTACCCGTGAAGATCCAAGATCACAACGGGCTTAGGCAAGCAAGTACCTCGGAGCCAGCACTTCGCGTCTTACCGAGGCCGTTTCAGAGCTCAGGAAAGGATTCCCACCAATAGTCTTTCGGCGATATCGGTCCGATTCAAAACGTCTGATCAGAAATCATCAGATGCCAACCCGGCCTGAAAGAATTGCACCACTTTGGCGCTTCTATGATCAACGGTCGGACATGTGATAGAGAGCCTTCCCGCTGGGATCGACGCGGACCATGTATCTACTTAAATGAAACTGGTGTATTGTCCGTTCGGATCACAGCCGAACCCAGTCATGTAAGATTATTAAGGCCACTTTGGTTGGGCTCATGTTGATAGAAGTTTAACTTCAGGTACACTCCGCACTCCGCACCTGTCTCTCAATGCGCTCTTGTCCGCTCCGGTCTGTTGGCAATCATCAGGCAAATCGCTTACCGAAAGCAGACAGTGTCCGACTGCTTACCTTAGTGCACGATGTAGCCGTGGACCCCGAATGGCGACATGTTATCAAGGGAAACCATTCCGCGAGCTACACGTTTAGCAAGCAGGGAGAGCATAGATCTCCAAACATCGAGCCCCGTTCGCTTTCGTTGCCCCATACGGAGACTCTTGCGCGGTTACATATGAGCCGGAGTCGTTCCCACAAAATCATCTGCTTTCTAGCCAGGTGACAACAATGGAGATCATTCCAGAGTACCATACGCGACAGCAATCGACCGAGAATCTCAATAACGGCACGCTCAATCCGTCCACGTCGTTTTGCATGCCGCTTTAGTGTCATGTCACTGCCATTTGGCGTTTCACACGTTCTTAAAGTTTCTTTACTTTTTAGCCTTCCACGCCGCACACTAAGTTACCCCGCGGACGTGAAAGCCGTAGCGACGCCTGCGCTAAGGCTTGTGCAAGGGGGAGAGGCGGCATTTGCAAGCCACCACCTTGATAGTGATTACTGCGAATGGTCTGGCGCAGGCAATGTACCGATGCTCGACTGACGGAAGCCGCGTATTACCTTTCGGAGGTGTGGGTACCGCAACATTAGCTCTCGGCTCACATTACCCTGCTGCGCCGTGTGGCTGCATCAACACCAACACTTGTCGCCAGGCCGTTTGTCAAGAGAATGCGTGAAGCAACAGGATTTTGTCTCAGTTTTGAACCGGCAAAGTCTATTCTTGAGTGGCAATCCTCGGGTCAGCAGCGCATAAAGTCTTATGCAAGACATCGTGTCACACATCGGCAAAGCATGTTGTTTCTCCACTGAGGCTCGGTAAGCCCATAACGTCTACACATTTGTCGATCGGTGTGATAGCCTAGCTCTGGGTGCCGCTAGCTGCTCCTACGGTTGAGAAGGACAACGTACGATTCTTAGAGAATCCTGCTCATGGTAATCAAAGAATGCGCTCGCGAGGTCATGGCTTCAATGATTACGTCTGGACGTTTACACACAGATCCTTCAAGATGGGATTCTTGGAACAGGGTCACGCTAGTAATCTTGCTCGATAGCCAATCAGCTATCCCCGGAACGCTATCCGAAGGCGAGACCCTTCTGTCACTACCGTCACTGGTAGCAGCCAGACGGGAGGAACTCCTAAAGCCTAGGATATCGACCAGGCCCCCTCTTGTTTACATGACTCAATACGTCGTGATATCAGTCATTGTGATAGTTTTTATCACTTGTCGAGTTGTCATGCGCCATGATAACATGCCTCCAAAGGAGTCATGATAGCTCCACAACACATATATCTCTGTTCAGATTTGGACTAACTGTTTGCGACTGAGCATCTGGAACATCGTTGATCTCGTGGTCTGCCGTAGAAGCTTTTGAACAGATTCAATAGCGGCACGTATGTGGGTGGCAGGCCGCAAGCGCAACCACCCCCTCTCTCGGTTGCGCGAGAGAGAAAGTCAAAAGTCCGCGCGGCGCTCAGCTACGGAATCCGGACATGCAGCCCATCTATTCTTCACATGTAGGCTCGCAAACGAAGTTGGTGACATGCATACGCATGTATTAGCGAGGGAGCTGTATATGTGGAAGATGTGACGGTTGGTGCCTTAGTGGATGGAACGGATGTTATTTGTCGATGGTTTTTCCGATCTGGATTTCTTTTTCCCATAACACTGGTTGAGATATTGGGGGGTGAGCTCGTGCCCTTCATTGCCGTGCTTTCCTTCTGGTAGTCTCTGGCACCATGATTCATTACTTGCTGTTTGGAAGGCTGCGTTTGAAGAGAGCTCTGCAACTTACTGAGTTGATGTTGTACAAGGCCTATCTCTCGTACATCAGTCATTGCGGGAGATCTAACAAGAATGGGGTTGGAGACTAAGCAGGTCAGTATACCCCACTTCAGGCAGACCATCACAACGTCAGATCTAACATCATGCTGCGCGTCTCTAGCTAATACTACGGGTCCAAGTATCCTCAGCAGAACCTCTACGTAAGATTTGGCCCCCGAGCTCGTTCAGTGCATTCCGTACCGAACAACCCTGCGTCTCTAGATTTGTGCTGTGGCAGAGTTACTTCCATGGCACTCGCGTCAATGTCTTACATAGATGGAGACAACATGACGATCAAAGAGTGTTGTGGATGCAACTCGGCCCTTCGACGGCGCCTCCAATGTGGCCCAGGACTACATGACTCAACTCAAACTGTACATCATATCTACTCCTGCCGCGCGTACTCATGCATGCTGCCCGAAGTTAGTCTGACATGTCATACACGCAAGTGCAACACAGGAAGATTAAAGAAGTGCTTATGCATGCTTGTGGAGGTAAAGTATGCCGATGTACAAAATGCTGGTCATTTGCGAGACATCCTAAGCACCGAAAGGGCGATGAAAGCGTTCATACTATGCTACACCAGCTGAACGACACTTTGTGAAGTTGACAAAGAAAAAGAAACAGAAGCTGACTTGACGCCACACTATGTGGTACGAAAAAGCAAGAGATGGTGATGGTACATGAACCCGAAAACGCCTTTTGCACATATCTTCGTGCTACATGCGTGTATCATAAACACCGTACCCATAGAAAAGAACCAAAAAAATAAATAAGAAAAGATGCTTACTCCTCGATGAGCGCACCCAAGATCAAACTCTGAATGACAAACTCCGCACATGTAATCTTGATCTTATTCCCACCAACTTCTCCTTTGACAAGGAGCTCTTCGTGTACCTCAGCGTCGTCTCTCTTTCTCTTCTTGCCCTTCTTTGTCTTGCCACTCGCAATAGGCTTCTCGGTACCAAAGAGAGTAGCAGCAGCTTCGGCGACACCGCCTTCTCCGTTGTCCACATACACCCAATCCCACTTGCCATTGGTGAGCATATCGGATGCGGTGCCGAGATCGGCACAGCGACCGACCGTGGCAGAGCCAAGAGCGTGGGAGAGGAAGACAAATGGTTGTCGCTTTTCGATTTCTTTCTTGGATTTGCCGGTGACGAGGAGGACATTCTGGTCTTGGAAAAGAAAGTCACGACCCTGGATGGTTTGAGCGAAAGTGAGATCTTCGCCAGCGGGGTCGTAGGAAGTCATTGTGCGTGACCGTACAACACCATTTGGATCGAGGAATTTGGACACGCCAGCGGGTAGAAGATACCGCATGAATGGTGCAGCGCGCGACGCATTGAGTGAGTCGTGAATCCAGCGCATATGCAGACATGGGACGTTGAGCGCAAGTGCTTGGATGTATTTTGTGCTGCGAGAATGCGAGTCCGAGATAAGAGCGACGAAGCCCAGATCTTTGTATGCTTGTTTGAGCACCAGTCCAACTGACCCTTCGATGATAGAGGCTGACCTACGGCGGTTCTGGGACGAT